AATTTGTGGGTCTAGTACACCTAATTCTAGTTTTTCTATACAAAGAACTAGTAATTCCTATTCACAAGTGTCTATGCTTATCCTAGTGCTTGTGAAATTCGCTTTAACAGTAAATTTTGACTTTGTTCGCCTCCGTATAAACCTTTAGTCAATATAAAAAAGGTATATTAATTATTGTTTTTGTGAAATATACTAATATCATGATAATTCATATTACATTTGCATGCCTAAATATGGCTTGATTGTGAGGTTTTTTTTATAATTAATTAATCTGTACGTACCACTTTCTTTGCAAAAAAACCATTTATTACATTTATTAAGGCACACTACGTTTTAATTCGCCCATCTAACACTTTGTATTATGCTGTATGAAATATTATTTAATTTTTTTACAGAAAACATATTACATGGACACAGTAAACACACAGTCGCGAACACCAATACGATAACGTCTATATTACAAATGTAAATTTTATTGCATTCGAATCATTGCTATAAATAAATGGGCCTAAATCCGATATAAATTGTATTTATAACCTACAATGGTAAACAATGCCATGAAACCCTACCTATTTCATTTATGCTTCAGTTGTTTTTATGTTCATTTAATAATGTAAACCAAAGGAGTTTGTAGAGATGCAACTGAAACGACTCTACATAAATAATGGAGGGTCTTGTCCTGATTTTGAAATCCCCGAGGTTCGGTTTCTTTACGTTTCAAACGTAGAAACAGGTATGAACGCACTGGTGAATATAAAAATAAAAATATCGAAGAAATATCGTCACTTCATCGATATTGACATCGTCATTTAGCGTGGGTAAAGTGCGAGCACATAAGACACGGATAGTAATCGTACAATATTAAATTTAGATTGATTCACTTTAACACTAAAAATATTTTTTTATTTATTTGCTCAACAGTATTCCTACAGCTACTCACTAAACAATATCCAAACAATTACATTGTACACAAAAGCCAAAAACGGAATACACATTCGAACATAAACAAAGCAGTTTTACCTATTTATACAAAAAATATAACAAAGTATGTATTAATAATAAATTCTAAGTTCTAAGATTAATTTATCATCTTAATATATATATTTCTTGTGTGCGTGTGTATGTGACTGAACTTCTCTCAAACGACTAGACCGATTTTGATGAAATTTTTTGTGTGTGTTCAAGGGGATCTGGGAATGGTTTAGATTCACAAATCAGCCCGGCAGATGGCACTGCAGTCAGTACTTTTATACTTTGCGTAATATCCTAATCGCTTTAAATATCATGCAGGACAACGTCTGTGGGGTCCACTAGTTATAATATATATTTAATATAAAGGAAGAATAACAAAGCCATTATTAATACAAGATACCAGAGTTTTTTAAATTATATTTTAATCATTTTTTATTTACATTAAATATATCTATTTGCTGGTAATTTGTGTTATAATCTGAAGGTATACGATACACGACTGAGTTACGTAGGTAAATACTTTGTATTAGACCGAGCTTAAATTAGCTTAAATTATAATGAGCAGCGGGTTCAAGGCACCAATCTCACTTTTAATCACAAGATTGAGTAGATACTCAACCACAAATTACATAGTCACAACTCGGTCTATCGTCTCATCACCACAATGCTCCACTGAATACTCATCAGTATTATCCTGGGTAAGCATGGTCCAAAGTCAAGATGGCGCCTCGACCCAACTCGAGACATTTGCTCTGCTATGATTGGTTGTAACACTATTCGTACTTTTATTCATTAAATAATGATTCCAAACTATGAAACAATTAAATAATAACAAAACAAATCGAGTCAAAATAAATTATGATTCTTAAAAGGAATAGAAGGAATCTCAATTACTAACCAAAGCAACAATCAAAATCAACGGTCAATTGACTCGATCATAAATCCTGATATTCCGAGCTCCAAACTCCATTTTAATTTTTTTTTTAGATTTTTTTTTATGAAAATACAAAAATATATACAACTCCTAATTTTCTCCCTTCTACAATCAACCCCAATTTTTTATTATTGTAGATAGTTATTTTTACTAAAAAAAAATGTTTTCTAGAAATTATATGCATGGCAAACCAAACGTTTGCCGGGTCAGCTAGTGTCTTTATAAAAAATCAGACATTGAATAGTATACGGAGCCAGCTGTTTAACTCAAACCAATTTAATTAGACAAAACCTTCCAAATGAAACGTTTCTTAAGGAAAAAAGGCAGACAACACAGTGGCAAGTCTTCTGGCAGGATGACCTTGACGATTCTATGAGGCACAGTGTCACTAAGAATCTGATTTAAGACTTTTGTATGCCTACAAGAGTCGACTCTATATTATGTTATTCATTATATCAGATGCACCATTTACAAGTTCAGCTCAAGTTCGAGACAAATTAACAAAGTCAATAACTATTATTTACTAAATCAACGCCATTATTTTTACGCCGTATTTTTTTATAGAACAAGGAGTTTGCTGGGTAGGAGGTTCTCCTGATGATAAGTTATACCTCTCATGGACCCTCACAATACCAGAGGGCTCGAGAGTTAGGAATTGGTACGATCTTTTCTTTTGCGACTGAGGCGCAAACTAGCTGCTGTGGTCTCTGGCAGAATGACCAGCGCTGTGGAACAGTCTGCTTCTCAGCTTAATTCTGAGCCAGGGCCAATCACAACCGTCTGTGGTTGTAACACGCAATACACACATATAAAGGGAAAAGGGAATATTTTTTTTTTGTTATCGCTCAAAAAATGTTATGTCTATGTCTGTTTTCGAACCATAACTTGAATTGGTTCGAAAATAATTCAGTGGGTAGCTACATAGTGATAGCGTGCGGCAATAGCTGCGTTAAAAGGGGTTCTATTCCTTAATACTCATATAGATCTTGCAATTAAACATAATCCTCGAAGTCTCGACTCGCTATATCTGCTGGATGATGTCTTAATTTTAATGCTCGGTTTTAATGCTTAATGTCAGACTACAGTCTGTGACTAACATTTATTGTGTTTGTTGCTGACTGATAAAGTATTTAATGAAGTTAATGACCCAAGTATCGGCACCTCAATAGAGACTGTTAGAAGTATTATTAAAAACAATTTTATTTATTTATTAACACTCCGTTGTATATATACATATAAATATAGTACAATTGACTTAATTAAATAAAAAGGAGAGCTACTGGCGGCCTTATCGCTTTCGAGTGATCTCTTCCAGGCAACCACTGTGAGAAAAGGAAAAAAAAAACTAAAGTATATACGGTACTTACGGTAGGCAAGAAGTGCAAAAATACAATTTTAATATTACTTTATAAAATACGATGATTATTAAACAGGTCACAAAGATCTTCAGCAATGTACGTAAGATATAAATAACTAATTATTTTAGCTAAAGTTAAGCGTAAGGGCCAAAATTTTTAATAATTAATTTCACTCTGTCACGCGCAGGCGCAGTGAGCCTTTGAAACTAGAGAGCGCCATCTGTTGATACCGTTTGCCAATTGGATATTTGATTTGTTTCAATAAAGGCTACATCTTGTAGATTGTAGATCTTTATCCCCTATTTATGTAAAACGCGTGTGATCGTCTATTTAATCTGTCACAACTGAATATTAGAATATTGTTACTTTATAATAACCAATGGCGCTACACTAGCGAGTGTTAAATGCACACATAGACAGAAAGTCCATTGATGCACAGCCGGAGATCGAACCTATAACCTCAGGGATGAAGGTCTTTCAAACAAATATACAATTCCCACAGTGCTCAATCACCCTCCAATAACCCGTGTGTTCCGTATACACTGATCATGTCAAATGCTTCGGTTTTGATTCGTATCGCAAAATTGTACGACGCTTTAAAATTGTTGTTCTTTGTTTGATACAGTTTATAGCGAATGTTGTTTTATCTTACCTGAGCTGAGTGGTTTCATACATTGTTTTCAAATAATAGTACTATTAGAATTTTATATATCGATATTTATTTTGATACAAATTCACATTTCCACGTAGAATAAATAAAGAAGAAAATAAAAATACTTATAGATACGGTACTCCTGGTATCGAAGACCCCAGGGCTGGTGCTTTCCTCGCTCAATGAATAAGTATTGCAATACAGCGAAGAAATGCTGCCAGCATTAAAGTTACACTGCCACAGTGACCAAACTTTTTAAATTTGTTTTAATTTTTTATTATTATTACTTGCTTATTCTGTCCTAATGCGACTTGTCCTTATGATGTTAAATGATGTCATGCCGTGATCCGTTTGTTTGATCCTAAGTGTATACAAAATGCATTGTTTATGAATCGGTTACTACATAATAAACGTTAATTAATGGTAACTAATTAATTCATAAGGCTTTTAGAGACCCACATAAACTAATTAAAAAAAAAATGAGTACTAAATTTTTATAAATAATTATTATTAATAATAATTATAAAAATTTAGTAATATTAATAATTGGATTCGAATGCCTGCTTTAAAAATGCTTTAGGAATAAAATATGATTAAAAATATCCAATGGGATACACAACACAACACTGTATTGTTATTTGTGTGTTCTTATTTTGTTTATTTATAAATTCTTTTATTTTGATTTTTACCGTACACAAATATCTTTACAATAAATCACCAATAATTGTAAAGATATTTGTGTCTAGATCTCGATAACTTTTATCTCCAGCCATTTTGAAGCCAACAGGCATCACTAGGGACGATTGTAAGTGGTCGGATATGATGTTTTTGATTCCTTGGATTATGGGACGGGCATTATTAGGATGCTAGTTGTGGAATACGTTAGCCCCGCACAAGCACAAAATCGGGCGTGGGCGCAGAGCAGGCGGAAATATACATAGACCAGATATGATTTTGTACCCTTTGGAGTGGACACTCTAGGGCCGTAGAGTTCAATTACACATACGCTAATTAATAATAATTGGGCGGCGGTATCACTTTACATCGAAAGGAGATAATAAAAAACAAAGAATTCTTCAATATTTTAATGGACATACTTATCAATCCAATTTGTAAATTTAGCTACATCAGTGAATACAGTGTACTGCTGGGGATCACATATCGCTGCGTCACTGCGCCTCGCAGTTAGTGAAACAATGCCTCGAACATACCAGGATCCGGTTGCGTTGGGCGAATTGTCCTTAGGAGTGTCTGGGACAAAGACGTGGTACCCGCCACCACTGTCGCCATTACAGGCAGATATTCCTAAAATTGTAAAATTATACAATAGCTAAAGGCTTTCTAGGGACAAGATGTGAAATTTTTTTTAAAGTTAAATTTTATTTATATAGAAAGTGAAAGATATTTTGCGCCATTCCACCAGTTTTAATTAATTTTTTCATGTAGTTTTCAAAAACAGCCTAATCAAATATGACCTGTGTCTCAGATTTCTGTATCTGTTTTGTGATCATTTATTTATCTTAATAGACAAGTGGGTCATCAGCCTTGTGCTTGTCCCTCGCCGTTGCCTTTTTCGGTCCAAAGCGGGCCATAGACGGACCGCATGTTGCAGTCAAGACCGACTGCAATATGCGGTTTGCTCAGGAACTGCTCGAGCGATCCGTGTATTGCGAATATGAATTTAGTATGGAAACTGTAGATCGCCGTGCGGCGACCGCTTAGAGCAATCGGTATCGGCTGCAACATGCGGTCCGTCTATGGCCCGCTTATGGCATGTCGGTTACTGAACGATGTTTTCTTCCATCTTACGAGCGAGTGTCAAATGTGCACATAGCACTTACTATTTAGCCTTTAGTGCACTGCCAAGGAACGAACTTACGGCCTGACAGTCGTACGTAAACTACTAAACCAACACTACTATAATATACACATACCGTCCGCATTTCCTGCGCAAAATTTTCTATCTGTCAGCACAGTTGCATACAATAGGGGATTCTTCTTAATACAAGTTCCTTCTGATACTATCATTAAGGTTGCTCTATTTAATTTTGGGGATAAATTATCTGTTACGTCGAATCCCCAGCCAACGACCTGAAATTTTATCAATACATTTATAGACATGCACTTCTTAACATCAATCAAACGTCTTAACTCCTGATTAGTTAACGATGGATTTAAACAAACTAATTGGGTTATTTTTGTTTTTTTGTTTTTATGTAACAGGAGGCAAACGGGCAGGATGCTCACTTGATGTTAATAGATACACAACCAATTCCAGAAGGCTCGCAAATGCGTTGCCGGACTTTTAAGAATTGTCACGCTCTTTTCTTGAAGCACCCTAAGTCGAATTGGTTGGGAAATACTTCAGTGGGCAGCTGGTTCCACATAGCGGTGGTGGGCGGCAAAAACTGCCTAAGAAAACGCTCAGTTGTGGAACGACGGACGTCGAGGTGATACGGATGGTATTTTGTATTCTGCATTGACAATCGATGATGAAACTTAGCTGCAGCTTCCTTTTGATTTGTTCCCAAGTTCTGATGCCTCTCTGAATGATGATGATGCTCTGATGGAGCCTGAGATAGCAGTTTTCGAAGAAGCTTTTAATAGCACGTAAAGATAAATGTTAATTAGAAATAACTGTCAATCAAATCGTTACTTACGGTTCCACTTATTTGGTTCGTTGGCAGATAATCAAAAGCCGCCTTGTACCATAGACAGGCTGGTTGTATGTAATCGTTATAAGTCACTTCCGTTTTCAATTTCAAAAGTGAAATGTCATTATGCAAGTATGGAAGTTTGAAGTCCTCGTGGACTATTATTAAATGCACCTGAATGAAATAATTAAATATAAATAAATTTAAAGCGCTATATTAAGAACATAATATTTCGAACAAATCTTGAAAAAAATCTTTAGTGTTTTTTTTCAAGAAATCTGTCAAGAATCAACGAAAGATTTAATTAAGTTGGCGTAAATTCGCAATGCAGTCAGGAAATGCTGCCAGCCCTAAAAGTACACTGCCACAGGGACCAAACTTTTTAAATTTTCTATTTATGAACTTTTAATTAATAATAATAATTTATTTATTGCAAGAATATGGTACAAAAATGTGTAAGGTAATCGTAAGTTCACATACTCTGGCACACACAATGGCGCGCAAATTTGTTTTTAAAGGAATTTTAATTTTTACATTATTAGTCATATGATTTGGTCAATTCTTATATTATTTGTATCGTACATATCATATCATACTTTATTAAATTTATATCAACTACAGTGTCTCACGCAAATAATCATTTATTGAATAGTAAATTTTTTCCAAAAGTAATACACCAAGTCGATTTTTAATGACTCTAGTCGGAAGATCTTTTAATTCTTTAGGCAAATTATTGTAAAACTTGCTTGCCGTGCAAAAGGTGTGTTTCATAAACAGTTCCAGATTGATGACGGCTCATTGGTCTAATGGTTAGTAGCCCTGACTTCGAAGCCATGGGTCCCGGGTTCGATCCCCGGCTGAGACAAACATCGATGTGATGAGCATTTGGTGTTGTGCTTAGGTCTTGGGTGTTTAAATATGTATTTATATGTCTATCTACCTATAATATGTACATATATCCGTTGCCTAGTACCCATAACACAAGCTTCACCGGCTTAGCATGGGAGTAGGTCAATTGGTGTGAATTGTCCAATATAAAAAAAAAAATGATTTTTGGCTCAGCCAATTTCTCCCCATGTCTACTTCGACAGATGATTATTCCCGTTGACTTAAAGATGATATATATGTTCTTGTGCACTATTATTGCTATATTAATTTTGATTAATTCTTTAGGTATTTTTAAATTATTTTTAAAATAAATTTATTGCAATTTAATTTAAGATAATTGTATTTAGATTAAAAACATGTTTATTTACCTCCCTTTCTTCAGATCCTACATCACCTCCAATAAGGTTATATTTGCCTAGTACAACACTCAGTAATTCTGGCAATAACGGCACGCCTCGAACGGTTGTGCAATGTGCAGCTGAAAATATAAAAAAAAAACTGAAAAGCTGGTATGGTTGTAAATAAATTCATCTATCGCTATTCCCCAGACTAGGGAGGACAGGAGATTCTGTTTTATGGCGTGGTACATGGTGCTTGTTTAAAACATTTTTTAAGAAAAAGTAGTTTTAGTGTTACAACAACAAACACAAGTCGTATAAGATATTAAGTATGCATATATGTAAGAGTGTGTGAATGAGTGTGTGTGCGTGTGTAGCTAAGCATTGTTATATGCGTGCGCTGTCTGTGTTAGTTATTGGAACCCCAGAATCATGCCAAAATACGTAGTCCTCTATAGATTCGTAATCCAATTCGGCTGGCGTAATGTTTATGTGTTTTATTTGTATCTGAATTTATAGTTAGTTTTTGAGATATCCACTAATTTCTGGAATGGGGTATATGGGGAATAACAATAATAATCCAGTGCCACTATAACTCTATATGGGTCTTGGCTTATTGAATCCGTTTCTTTGATCATTTTATTTCAGAGACAAGTAGGTGATCAGCCTTCAGTCTCACAGAAGTCGTTGATTTTTGGATTTAAGACATGCCGGTTTCCTTACGATGTTTTCCTTCACCGAACAAGCGATTGTTAGCTCTGCACATAGACAGTCCATGGGTGCTTGGATTGAATCTACGACCTCAGGAATGAGATTCGAATGCTGAAGCCACTAGGCCAACACTGTTGTATATATAATTTTTTAAATTACTTTTATAGATAAGTCATACGCACCGGTCAGTACGAAATTCTTGGAGATCAAACTGCCCCCGCATATATATTTTATATTATTTTTATCCAACTTATATATAGCGGTATGCCATGGCCAATCACCAGGCTGCGTGACCTCACCATTCACTATGAGTTGGGTGTATGTTATTTTAGATTTACCGCACGACGGGCTGTTTCGTTGGGGTTGAATTTCTGCATGGTCTTTGTATCCTTGAATGAATGAGTCTAGATAACCCTATAAACTCAACTAAATTAAACATATGTCTCTTTTCATCATAACTTGACAGAAAGAGACGAAATAGGTCTATGAGTATTTAGACTGACCCTTGGACAGTTCGCTAGACCTAAATTCGTCAAAGCATGTTCGGATCGTGAATTTGTTGGGCTTTCACATACACTCATAGCCCACATAGCATAGTAAAAATACACCGAATGAAAACAAGCGACGGGGAATTCCCCGTTCCATTCGATAGTCGCGCATCGCACGTGAGTTAATTGATCTCAGGGATTCCAACATTTTGATTGGATTTTTTAAAATCTCAGATATAATTTAATAAAAAATGTCGCCTATTGTTTTCAGTGGGGACTGTAGTCATTTGTATCCACGGGGCCCTGGGTTGCAGTCCAAAAAGCCCTTAAGTAGTTCCTGCGTCGAAGTATTAGGCACATAAGGCTCACTTACTTGACTATAAAGAAAACTGTTCAAGGAAATAGAAACATGAATCAGATATCAATCAGTTCAATTGAATGACGTCAACAGTACGATAAAATTTCTGGAACCTCACGAATGAAGGCTCCACCATCACGTGAATGTCGTTCAAAGAGCCTAGTGAGAAGAATGAAAAGGAAAAGTGAAAAGTGCATGTTACTATTAGGTGCTAGACAGTGGTCCGTGGGAAATATAGAACAGAAGAGCAGAGTGTCTTCGTCTTAATAGAGATTGAAGGTTTTGTCATTGGACCATTTCTTATGTCTATGTCTAATCAGGGTGAATTGGCCGATGTTATTCCACATCATTCTTGGCCAACGACGACCGTGATTTCAACGGCTGATAGAGTGGTGGGATGCGGACAAGGCTACACTGTTACCGGGTCCTGCTTCGGGCGATTCCTGGTGGCGCAGTGGGGTTTTAGTTAAATTAATATAGTCAAAACTAAACATACCACTTCTGCGTGCTGGCAATATTCCGCGCTATTGATGTTCAAATAGGTCATATATGGTACCACTGGAGTGTTTCTGGGACCTCTCACATAGAGCACAATGCCTTCGTGGGCTTTGAAGAACTTTACGACAATGAAATCTTCGTCAACGGACACTCTTGCAAATGCGTTATTGGACTGAAAATCGAGTTTCGAAGTTTTAAAATTAGAACGGAAATTTAAATCTACTTTAAACGAAAGTTTTTAATTTCCATTGAACTTAAGCGATTTAAAAATGTTCACAGTTTGGTCTTATTTAATTTCCTCGCTGTAATTTATAATACTGAAATTTTATATCCACATGCTTTTATAAACTTTTGTATTGAATTTGTGTGTGGGCGTCAGAAAATGTATGAAAACAAACGAAGTGATAAAATTTTGGTTCATTCCATAAATATTTAAGTTACCAAATAATTTGCAAAATCATACGTTTTTCACTGCCTTTATTATCAGTGGCTCTAAAACCTGTTTAGGTCTGCGCCTCAGATTTATATATTTATTTCATGATTATTAATTGTCGATCGAGGCGGGTGATCAGCCTCCTGTACCTGACACAGGCCGTCGACCTTTATGGTCTGAGCCGGTTTCCTCACGAAGTTTTCCTTCAAGCGAATGTTAAATGTGCACATAAACAAAAAGTCCATTTGCACAGCCCGGGATCGAACCTACCACCTCAGGGATGCTAGTCGCTGAAGCCACTAGGCCAACACTTATTTTATAGCTTAACATAATCGATAGCTAGGCGGTGCAATAAACAACAATTGAGCGTTTTTCAAGGCAGTTTTTGCCACGCACCACCACTTTGTGGAACCAGCTGCCCACTGAAGTATTTCCGAACCAATTCGACTTAGGGCCCTTCAAGAAAAGAGTGTACCAATTCTTAAAAGGCCGGCAACGCACTCGCGAGCCCTCTGGCATTGAGAGTGTCCATGGGCGGCGGTATCACTTAACATCAGGTGAGCCTCCTGCCCGTTTGTTTGTGTTGTTCTAAAAAAAAAAGGTTTCTTAGAATCTCGGAGAAGATCTTTTACTATTGTAATCATATAAAACCCTAAAATAATTATATTAGTCCCAATCACTCTTGTACCGTCTCTTTCTGACGACTCGAGTTGAGAGACGCCGTCTCTTTTCAATACAGCTGGAAATAGTCTTATTTTATGAAATTTAAAGTAAAAGGGAAATAGACATTTACCAAAGTGACAGAAGCGGGCGAATCGAATTTAATTTTCATACGTGTAGACACTGGAAAACTTTTTAAAATTTTTAATATATATTCGTTTTCGTCCTCTGGAGGCTTTCCGGGCTCATACTGAATGAATACATCCTCTGTGTCGTTACAAGGCTTGACAGCGACCAGCGGATTTCCAACTAACGTCCAACTCTCTTGCGCGTGCGCATATAACAGGCGCAAAAACAGTATTGAGAGGATTTTTAACATTCTATAAGAGTTTTATAACTGAATTAATCACAAGGCCTAGAAATCTCTGAGGCTGATTACCTACACAAACACTTATCACTTCTCGCAATATATTACTACCGTTACACTCAAGCGTCTGCGCAGCTTTGAAACCTGTTTAGATAAAAACCCATCTTAATACGTCCGGTTACCGGCAATATCGTATTTGTGACTTGTCTTTTACAAAAACAGCCATAAAACGGTTCTGTAAAAAAATATTTATACTCGGAAATAAATATCGGATTTTATATTTAACTAGTGGACCCCACAGACGTTGTCCTGCATGATATTTAAAGCGATTAGGATATTAAGCAAAGTATGAAAGTACCGACTGCAGTGCCATCTGCCGGGCTGATTTGTGAATCTAAACCATTCCCAGATCCCCTTGAACACACACAAAAAATTTCATCAAAATCGGTCCAGTCGTTTAGGAGGAGTTCAGTCACATACACACGCACACAAGAAATATATATATTAAGATAGGAAACGATCAGTATTTCGTCGAATCACTGTTATACCAAACCTCGATATATATATGTGATGCCATCAAAAACATAGATTGTATAAAAAAAGTGTGTGCGTGTAACCTTTTCGATTGAAGTAAAACTTCACAATAACATACAATTACAAGAATCAGTATCACATAAAACGAATGAATGCTACCCTAAACCAAGAAACTGACTTAAATCAGTTCAAATAATGCACCACTAGATGGCGCTGACGGACTTATAGAACGCGCTATCGTATTATTTTAAATAGCGGAAACTACGTTTAAGCGTTACTTCCGTCAGAAAAAACATCCGAGTCGCGCCTATAGAAGTTTTACTTCAAAAACTAAGCCTTGCGAGGCTTCCTAGAATGTTGTGAGATCCTTGTAATACCAAATTATTTTATTCAGTCCCTACTTAAAGTATCTTCTGTCTAAGTTATTACGTAATTAGCTAGCCTAACAACATCTTATAGTGACCATATCAATATTAAAAAAATGTTTTAAAGAAATACATTGACTTGACCATGGCCTTGCTACTAGAAAACCGGACAGATTTTCCTTGATGTATACATTAAACACTAATTGTATTCTAAATTTGAAGCTGTGTCTACTATAAGTGCCTTAGAGTTTTGATGATGATGTCAGTTTGTCAAAATTTAGAAATGTTACAAGTTATAATTCTTAAACTAATGGTTCAAATTGATTGAAATTTGAAATATACTGTGTCTGTACAAACCCTGCTTGGTATTAGAAGATGCAGGGTTCTAATTTTATCCACAACGAAGTTATAAGGGGTCGAATATGGCCTGAACTGCTTCGAGAAAAGGATGGTACGGTGGATGGTCGGCGGGCACCTGATAGTATCTGTTAAAGTGATCATGAATTCCCGTCAATCAAAAGGACGTATGTTCTATATGACACTTGTTTGACGACAACGATAGGAGGAAAACAATGATTTGATCTTTGATAATTTAATAATATACTTGACCAATGACCGGTCATGTGCTATTGAGCATTGCAAACTGATATTATTATAATTAATATCTTAATAAACTACTTTAAACTAAAAATCACTAAGTAGCTACTCAAATACATAACTAAAGAATAATGATTATATTAATCCGGATTTGATATGATTGATATAAGGACACTCAAAAAAAAACTTTCTTCGTTTAATTTAAATTTGAAATATTTTGTTATATTGAAATTTTCTAAACACTTTCCAAGACTAAAAATATCCTACTCAAACTTGCACCAAGAAAAAGTTTTTTCTCTCAATAAATCGACCACTCCCGAACTACCACCATTTTTTTACTGGAAAATAAATCAAGTATAATCACGTGGCAGCTGTCCGTAACCAATACAATTAATTGAATTCTAAATAATGTGTTAGAATTAAGAAACACACAAGGTTTTTTACACATATTTTCTTTTCTTTTAACAATCAGTCGAATAGATATTGAAACTTTGAGTAGTTTTCCTTATCCGGTTAAAACCCAAAGACAAGGAAAAATTCTAGAGTATTGAATCAATGTGAAAATATCACACATTTTATTTTAATTTGATCAAGTATCAATGGTTCGTTATCTGTTAGTCCGTGTCAATAGAGAATGTTGGGTGAAATATATTGAAACGGCCACAGTTGTATAATGGACAATACATGTTACACAAAGAACGGTTCGGTGGTTCTTACACAATTTTAACTTATAAAATAAGTCCTGAGTACATAACTCACCTCGATATATCTTTAACACGATCAAAGACACATTAAATTAGTATGGGAACAATGGAAGAGGTTAGGCTAATAATATAGTAATTAATGCTTTGCATTAAAATAGTTCACAAACACTCACTAAAAAATTATAAAAACGACGTAATTAATTAATAAAATTGCCAAAAAATGTAATCAAATTAAGTGTGTTCAAGCCAAGCGAAACAAATACAAGTGAATAAAGTGACGATCGACCGATTCAAAATATTCACGATAATCAAAATTTATAAAATAAAAATATGTATTCAGAATAATACACTAAAGGTGTTTTTTTTTTAATTTGATATAGCACTTATTTCTAGGTTAAGCGATATCTTATAATTCGTCTTTAAGGTTAAGTAGTAGTTGATAATGGAATCCGCTATTTCATTGGTAATTTTTTAAGATAGTATTTTAAGACACTTGAGCATTCGGTGTCTACAGCCGTACCTAGGACCTCAACAGAGAGACCTAGACCTCCTAGGTGTACTTATCAAGTTAAACTCTAAGCCACAATGGCGTGTTAAAATTACATAAAAAATAGCACTTATCGAGTACCACATAATCAGAATTACATTAATTCCGATGGATTGAAGGCCTCTTCCAAATTCCACTTCTTTAATTTCGCCACCATTTTTTAATCCTTCCCCGTTATCTTTATGATTCCATCTTCACAGGTTTCTGATAGGCGTCCTCTCTTTTTTCTTCCTCTGAGCTACACGCACACACACACACACTCACACACAGCGCTCCAAGGGTTTATTTGACCCATCACAAACGCGGGCAATGTGACCGGCCCATTTCCACTTTAACTTTTTGTATAAGATGTTACGACGTCTTATTCTTGTACCGTATTACACCGTTTTTAACTTTGCTTTTAAATTTTAACCGAAATAGAATGCTCTTTACCCCTTTAGCATACTCCAATCTTCTTTATTAGACTTATTGAAATACATCAATATGAGACGTTGAAACTGTTCGGACCTAAACTGTGTTCGTTTGATGTAACTGGACTTATTAATAGGATTGGCTCAGGACTACAGTTTCTCCATCATTGTTAGAGCGCTTTCAGTTGGCTTAAATATACTGGAGAATTCTCGAGGCCAATTTTGGCATCCACGTGCATGCTTCTATAAGTATGGGTATATTCTGTTTTGTGTTGTATATTTGGCCTTTACTGCTTTACGATATTATTTTTAACATTATAACAAAACATAATTAAGTGATAGATGTGTTGAGTATCGCGGCGTAATAAGTATTAAGCATAATTAACTAATTTATTTTATAAGTTTAACAACATGTATGCTTTCAAAATACAAATATGACGTTACAAATTTCACACACATAGAATCAAGGAAGGAAAATTTAATTTAATGAGGCAATTGGGTTTTTGAAAAAAAAAATATTGATTTTTTTTATGTATTTTAAAACTTTATTAATATATTAAATATTAATATTAATTAACAAAATTAAATAGATCAAAACACTCTATTTATTATTTTTCTATCAACTGCAATGAGTGAAAACTAACATTATGACGTCACAGGCGCTCGGGTTTGTTCGGCGTGTTTTCGGTACTGGATTCAAAAATTATTTTGAAATAACTTTTGAATTATTGCGAAAAAAAATAAAAAAAATAGTTTTGTTATAAAACTTATATATATGATCTTTCCCTTTATCACAAAAATTTTTTTTTTTTCATAAACCCAATTGTCTATTGTGGTAGTGGTAGTTTGATTAAAGTTTAATTCAGTCGTTTAATATACCCCAAAATCACCCCAAGAGGACATTTTTTTTTATTTTTTAACACTGTTGCAGTTATACAGATATATTTAAAATAATAGTATAATTAAAATAATTAAAAGAGCAGTGGTGGCCTAGTGGCTTCAGCGTATGTGTCTTACATTGAGGTTGTAGGTTCGAACCCCGGCTGTGCACCAAAGGACTTTCTATCTCAATCCTATTTGTATAGAAATATAAATATGGAGTCCCTTAAATAAAATAAAAAAGCCTTTTTATTTCTTGCAAAAGAACAAAGTAAACTTAATACTATTTTTACACATATATTTTTAAGAAAGTAAATTACACAATTATTATTATTTTTTCTTCCTAATTTTTATATCTATTTCCCAATTATTATTTTGCAAGAACCCTTCCGCATGTGTAGGCCTCCTCCAGGGATCTCCAGGTATCTCGATTTTGGGTGAGCTGCATCGAGCTCGAGCCAGCCGTTGAGCAATGTCGTCCGCCCATCTGGTAAGCGGTCTTCCTCTGTTTCGTTTCCCAATAGGGCCACCCCACCTGGTCTACCTTATGGTCCATCGATCGTCAGAGAGTCTTGCTACATGACCTGTCCATCTCCACTTAAGCTTTAGAGCCCTAAACTGCCCTAAACTATGGGCATCAGTAGCTTTAGTAACGCTTCTTATTTTTGAGTGTCTTATTTTATTAATTTTTCTAATGTTAAGAGTCCCTTAACAATTCTTAAATTCAATTCAATTCTTAAAATTAAACAGAAGGAGGTTCGATACAAGAAGTTCCCTGGTCCAGATCGTGGTATTAATATTTAATGGGATTATATAGTTTGCTAACTTACAAATATAATATATTGCAAAAACTTAAGTTATATTTGAATGTGTAATGAACTGAATAGTTTCAGAGTTTTGTTCAGTGAATCGAATACACTTTGAATAGTGTGAAACTGTGAGTCATTGGACCATTTCAAAGTATTAAAATTAACTA